CCCGGTTTTTTTTTTTTTTTTTTGGTTTGTTTGTTTTGTTTTGACCATAATGAGAGCTGGATTACAAATCTCCCTCCCAGCCGCCCCACCAGGCCCTGCCCTGGGACCCCTGACCTCAGCCTTCCCAGCTGACCTCTGACTCTTCCCCTCCTTGCCCCACAGGGCTCAGGGCAATTGTGACCCTGAGGTGCCAGTGACCGAGGGCGCCCGCTGCTGCCGCCGGGAGATGTACATCGACCTGCAGGGCATGAAGTGGGCTGAGCACTGGGTCCTGGAGCCCCCGGGCTTCCTGGCCTACGAGTGCGTGGGCACGTGCCGGCAGCCCCCCGAGCCTCTGAGCTTCAAGTGGCCGTTTCTGGGGCCGCGGCAGTGCATCGCCTCGGAGACGACCTCGCTGCCCATGATCGTGAGCGTCAAGGAGGGAGGCAGGGCCCGGGCGCAGGTGGTCAGCCTGCCCAACATGCGGGTGCAGAAATGCAGCTGCGCCTCGGACGGGGCGCCCGTGCCAAGGAAGCTGGAGCCGTAGGCGCTGGGCGTCGCCACTGAGGGACTTGGCTTCTGTGTGCATCAGTGTCCTAGGCGCCAGGGGAGATGGGGATTGCTGATGGGCAAGCGCTCTGTGCTCTCTACTCAGCTCCGAATTTGCTACCTCTGACTAGTCAGCTCACCTTCTAACATTGGCTTTCCAGGAACAAGACTCCCTGGCCACTGGGTAACCCCTGCCCAGTCTTCTCTGTCCTTCACGTTGCTCACTGCACTACAGCATAAGCACTTACCTGTGTGTAGATTCTGTCATCTAAGAGCATTGTTTCCTTGTCCTGTCACAGGATCTGGGCTGAGCTCTGTGATGGGAGCGGGGGATCCAGCTGCCCCTCTGAGCTTAAAACCTAGGGTCAGGTATGCGTTGTGCCTTCCCATCTCAGATACTAGAGAAACAAAGGAATGCATTTAATTCCGTATTTCTCTGTTTTACCCAGAAGCCTGCCCATTGTGAGGGAACAGAAAGTTCTACAGGGATTAGTTCAACCTGATTAGGAAACTAAGGAAAGAGCTTAAAAAGATGTGGTCAAGGTCTTAGTTAAGTAAAACAGGAAGTGGGATGAAATGCGTTCGGAGTCTAGTGTGCCTGTCTTCTTCGAACTGAAGCCAGAACGTGGTTTGTCATTTTTGTTGACATTTTTACTTTTCTGGGCACGGTGAGTGGGTTTTATTTCATTCTACCTGCTAAAAAAATCAGAAAATCTGTGATCAAAATCATCATCGGTACCACAAGAATATGGATCACTTCTGTAGATTTTGGGGCAGATAAGGGAGCAAGTGTTGAAAATGTCAGATAAAACATTTCAGAATGCCAAGATTACAGGGCTTTTGAGCTGGGGCTTTGGTACAGGGTCCTGGCCCAGGGCATGGATGTCTCGCATCCTTGCCAGTCTGCGCAGCTTTTATCAGCTGTAAATTCTATATCTCCTACACCTCCATTTCCTTCTCTATCAAACAGGAAAAGCTCCTGACTCCCATACATTTACTGGAGCTTTAAGGAAACAATGTTTTTTTACAAGCACTCCACACCCTGCCTGATACGTTAACAGGCGCTGAGCGTATCTCAACTCACATTCTGATCCATTATGGACTTTTCTTGATTTTGAAATAAACTTAACTTACTAAAAATCAAATTTTGAAAAATCTCCCCTTTCTGAAATCAAAGATCCTAACCTTTTCTTTTTGTCAGTGGTGTCAGTCTTCTAATTACTGGGGTTGGAAACATGTACTTTCCCGGACCCCGCAGTGGGGGCAGGGAAGGGCTGAGGACTGGCGGGGAGGGGGTGTGTGAGAGTGAGGATTGGGGACAGGTCAGTCTGAGGAGCTGGGAGTCCAGCGGGCCACACCGGGAACCTGCCCGAGGACGGGTGTGGCTCCATGGCAGCAGAAGGTAGCAGCAGGAAAGATGGGCAGGCATAGACATGGAGGGACAAGAGCTGAGCCCAGGGTCAGAGGGCGAACTATGGGACATGACTGGTGGTAGAGGTTTGTTGGGAGGAGGGGAGAGGGAGGAAGCCAGATCCGGAAAAGCGCCCTCAGAGAAGCAGGAGGAGACACCCCCTCCCTGAGAGCCACGGCTCGTGCTAGGACCATGTGCAGGGAGATATGGAGACGATCATCATCGTAAGAGACGAGACCCCAGAAACGGAAGAGAGGGCAGAGACCCTGCAAAGCTGCACGTGTGAGTGCAGAGAGGGTCAGGATACATCCATTCTTAGTGCTTAAAAAGGACCTGAGTGAACGCTTTGGTCTAACCCGAAGGTTTTGCAGACGTGGAAACGGAGGCCTGCGGGGGCGGGCAGTGTGCTTGGGCGGCCAGGCGGGCGGTGCTCTCCCTTCACAGGGCGCGAGGTCCTCACTGAACCCGGTACTGCGTCCTGTGCAGCGCACAGTCCGGCGCTTCGAGTCCAGCTGCGGAGGCCACTGGCTCACCCGCCTGGGACCTAGCCCCGGGGAACACGCCGCACTCAGCGAGCTGGGCCAGGTCGGCGGCCCGGCCAATACCGTGCTACCTCCGTTTGGGGCCAAACGGGGGCGGAGGAGCCAGGCGGCTGCTGACGTCCCAGAGCCGAGATGCTGAGCCGAGATGCTGAGCCCAGTCGAGTCCCCATCTTCCCGCTCCCCCGGGCGGCCCAGGAGTCCAGCGAGGAAATAAAGTGCAAAACAGGGACGATCATGAACAGGGACGATCATGAACGGGCCCCTGTCTACCCGCGCGTCCCCGGGCCGCGACCCCCTGCACTTGGCCGGAGTCTCCCCGAGGTGCCCGGGCTATGGGGACGAGCCGGGGCTGAAGAGCGGAATTAGACCTGGCGGCACCCTGCTGGGCCCCTGGGAGCGAGCTGTCGGGGCCAGGCCTGGGCGGGGCGCCGAGGAGGGTGCGCCGCCCGGGCTCCGGCGGCGGCGGCAAATTGGGCAAGCGGTGGCCGCAGCTCTGCGCATGTGCAGGAGGCGCCGGAGTTTCACTTTGTAACTTTCAAGCGCCCCGAACGCCGCCCCGCCCGGCCAGGTGGAGCCAGACCACTTCCTCCCGCCACGCCAGCTGCGCCACCGCCGCAGGTAAGGCGGGAAGAGGGCTTTGAGCGGCGAGAATGTGGCCCCCCGCCTTTCCCGGGAGGTGTCGGACCTGGGCTCTTCGCCCGGGTGCTACGTCGAGTGTCGGGTTCCGCTGAGCTGCCCTCTGGCCCCCGCAGCCCCCACTCCTTAGCAGAGTGGGCGGAGCCGAGAGTCGGTCAGTCCAGAGGGTCAGTCCCGGGCCGCGCAGGACGCGCGCCCCAATTCCAGCCCCGCGCTCCTCCGGGCTTCCTGACAACTTTCCCCGACTTTCCTCTTCGCGGCTCCAGCTTTTCGCATTTATGCGTTTGCGCTGATCTCTCCCTCTGCCCCACCCCTCTCTTTGGGGCCCTTGTCAGCTGCAGGCCCACCTCCCAGCCTCACCAAGAGCTCAGCCATGGGCCTCCTCCTTCCCGAACCGGACGCGAGGCAGGCCTGGGAAAGGGTCAGGCCTCCAAGTTCACTGCTGTTGAGAAGGTTGACAGCACCTTGGGGCTGTCCCTTGGTGACCACTTCCTACAGCCCTAGTGGAGTCCCAGGGGAGAAGCTGGGGGCTTGGGTGAGGGAAGGGGAGGGTGAGGGGAAGTCTGCTAAGAAACCAAAACCATTGAGGTTCCAATACCTGATAAGAATGGCTACCTGAGACCCTGGCGTGGCCTCCATCTTTCAGCCCAGGTGGGGTCCTTGAGGAAAGAAAACCATAGCGTGGCCGACCGAAGACCTCGGAGCTTCCATCCACCCAGCAGTCGTGTGGCTGTGTCCCAGCCCCTGCAGTGTTGAGGGTTTGAAGTTAAGCCAGTCCCAGGCCTGGTGGGTGGTGGGCGCAGAGGGCAGTGGGGGAGTCCTGGACGTCCCAGGGCCTGGCTCCTGAGGGTTGTAGACACCCACTGGGGGTGAAGAAAGACTCCAGGTCGTCCCGACTGCAGAAAGCGCCCATTGTCCCTCCCTTGTCCTCTGCGTGTCCCCTCGTCTTTCTCTTCCCTCCTGACACCTGTGGAGTCCTCAAGTCAGCTTCTGCCTTGAGGTGAATGTGAACAGAAGCAGAGGCTGCCTTTTCCCCTCATACAATTTCCCGCTTGTTTAGTGTGAGGACAAAGGTCTCTCTTGGCTGTTCGTTGGGCTGTAATAGGGAAAAACATCAGGTGGAGTCTTGCCGTTGGGTTTCCCGTCAGCTGAAGGGTGACTTAAAATAAAAGCTAACGGCTTCTGAGTATTCACTCGGTCAGGTCCTTGGGCTAAGTGCTTGGTGGGTACTGTTTTAGGTCGGTGTCTCCCAACAGCCCTGTAAGAGAAATGTCAGCGTCCCCACTTTATGGAGAAGGAAGCCAAGGCTCAGAGTGGTTAAGCCACTTGTCTAAGCGACATGATGCCTGGACCCTAACTCCAGAGCCTGCTCAGGTAACTGCGGGGCACGCTGCCTCCCATCACAGCCAGAGGCTGTGCCATTTCCAGGGCTGACGTGTGCTGAGGTCAACGGTCGTCCAGGTTCCTGGGTCCTGTTTGGTGGCGCTTTAAGAAGGTCGTGTTTACTTCAGAACCTTCTGCGTCTAGATGATCAGAGTCAGTTCCTGTGGCAGAAGGACAGGGGTTGCTTGTTGTCCTGCTATCGTAACAAAATTGGGAGATTTGGTGATGTTAAAAATACCCGGAATTTGTACGCTGCCTTCTTGTGAGAACCAGCAGAGCTCACACACATCCGGTGGCATTCTGCTGGCATTTCTAGAAGGGAGGCATAGAGATCGTGAGGTGTGCTGCAGGGGTCCAGTCCTTGCTGCCAGCTCAGGTGGGCAGTGGTTTAGCATTGGTGCTTGACTTCTTTGGCAAGTTGAGACCAGCTGTTGGATTCAGCTGTCTATCCCAATGGCCTCAAGCAGACTCTGGGGTGCACATAGGCTGAACCTTGAGTTGGAGGCCTGAGTCACCTACTGCTCACCTGACTTCTTTGGCTCTCCCATGCTCAGGGCCCTGGCTAGGAATGAGATGGCAGGCATGGATGAGTGCTAGGCATTTGTACGTATGTTTCTAACAAATATAGGATGATCGAATATTGCAAAGATACCGGCCAGGCCGGGCTCCTGTGACCGCAGGGCCCACTTGCTTGTTTGGCCCCTGCCCAGAACTGTCAATCTGTCACCTACCGAGCCAGGTCCCTCCTGATCAGTGCCACCTGAGTCCCCTCCCTTCCCTTGCCTCTCTTCCTCAACCTGGCAGGGCTGCCCCCTCAGAACCTGTTCTGGAAGAGGCGGAGGGGCTGGCCTTGGAGGAACTGTGATGTTTCAACAGAATCTGGATTTTAGGTGTGTAATGGTCAAGACAGGCTACAGCTGAGCTGAAGTCTGTAAGAGACTGAGCGCCCCCAAAGCTGTGTCCTCACCTGGGCGTCTTACCTGGAGGGGGCCGATGGGACAGGCTGCATCACAGGCTGGTGGTATTTGCTGGCTGACCTCACTGAGTTCTTCTCATCAGACTTTGTAAAACCACCCAAGGGATCCTGTTTAGCAAGAGGAAAGAGACTTAGAGGCATGACTGGCACTGAGGGGGAAGAGGAGCCGTGGGTGCTTTCCTCCCGTGGGGCCTCGGCTCCACGGAAGCTTGGCACAGAGCAGCGTTGCCGAGAATCGTCCTGCCCCCAGCGCCGCCCGCGGCAGCCACCCGCTTCCAAGGACAATGTTCCTTCTGTGAGCATTTTATGGGGATGTTGTCTCCTTTCCACTTCGCTTTTCAAGCCGTCCTTGTTTCTTTCTGCCGTGTTCCTTTTTCCTGATTTTAGCCCTTGGGGGCCTTTGGGGCCCATAGGAGGCCCTACTCAGTTTTGCCTTGAACCCACAGCCTCTAGTGCTTGGGTGGCGGGGCACTGCCTGGCTCCAGCAGGGCCTCGAGCCAGGGGAGGAGAGGGGAGAGGCCGGAGCCCCGCTGGGTGAGGAGGGAGGAGCAGGGTGGCCCAGAGGAGCGTGGGCCCAGAACCAGTTCTGGGAGTTGGGGGTGAGGGCCCAGAACCAGTTCTGGGAGTTGGGGGTGAGGGCCAAGAGGGTGTCCCCGGAGGAACCAAAGGTTCCACATTTGCGTTCACGTTCAGAGATATTGGGGCAGGTGTGAGTGCGTGGGGAGCGTGATGAAGGCTCTCGGGCTGGAACCCCTGAACTAGAAGAGGCAGCTCCCACATGACTGGCCATCTATGTTCCTTCAGGGAAGTCCGTAAGGCTGGTGCCAGCCCTGTGGTCAGGAAGGGCTGCAGGAAATGAGTGGCGGGCCCGAGGCAGCTTGGGAGGTGGCCGGGGCGGCCGCTGCTTTTGCCGGAGCCAGCTCCAACTGAGGACTTCTCCAGGGGACTCTGTCCACAGTCCTGCCTCCCCTTGGCATCTGGTAAGTGTGGGCACAAGGGGACGGGCAGGTGTCGGCCTCCCAGCGTCCATCTGGCTGGGGTGTTCTGTTGGGGTGGTGGCACTGGGTGGGGTTCAAAGGAGGGAAGCCAGGACCATCTGTCTCCTGGAGGTAGCTTTTGTGAATCTGTTTAGAGCCACCAACTCCGTGGCTCTGGCACCATACCCTCCAGCTCTTGCCAAGTCTCACAGAGTGAGAAAGTGACTCGGCCTTTTGGGGAATTCTCCCAGGCCTTGGACCTGCCCCTGCCCCAACCCCCCAGCGCTTCCTGTCATGTGTGCGTGTGATTAACCCCAGCCCAGCAGTCCCAGGGGTCAGAATTAGTGATCAATCCCCCCACCCCCACCCCGACCCCTGCGTACACCCGGCACACACACCACCAGCATTACCAGGGAGCCCGAACTTCTGTTTGGGTTCTCTGGACCTTTTCTTCCTGTTCCCGAGATTTTTATCCCTGTAGAAGGTGGAAAGACCAGAAGTCCTCTGGGAATCTGGTTCAACCTGATTTGGGGAGATGGGAGCCTGAGAAAGGAGAGCTGGGCATTTCTCCTGACTCTGCAGCCACAGACAGTGTGAAGAGCAGGCCAGAACTTGGGCACACGCTCCGGGGCCTTCGGTGTTGGGTGACGAACACTGGAGGTTTCTATTAGCTTCCCTGAGGGTCCCACGAGCCAGGGAAGGAAAGGTCGGCGTCCAGCCTGGAGCCATGCTTGCTTTGGACATGCCGGGCTTTCCATTCACACCAAAGGTACCCAGGGTGCCGGCGTCAGCGGATGGAGCTGGGGACACACGGTGGGTGACTCAGGAGAGGAGGGCCTGAGGCTCCCTCCCACTGCTGGCCCGGGGTCCCCCCTCTGCCTGCCCTGTCTTTTCCGTTCCCACTTCTCTGTGCTCTGGTGACCCTTCCCGGACCTTTATCTCTCACGGAACTAACTCGCGTTTGTCAGCTGGTTGGAGAGGGGGCGTGGCCCAGTAGAAAGAGAACTGGCGTCCGGACGGGAGTCTGTCTGGGTCTGAGACCTGATTCTGCCCTGAGCGGCTTCTTAATCTTGGGGCAGGTGATTGAGCGTCGGAGCCTCAGTCTCCAAGGGTATCGATGGCCCATGCGTTTCATCCCTGACACAGGGAGCGGAGGCTCGTCTGTGGCTCCCGTGGATCAGCAGGTGCTGCAGACGGGGCTGTCCTTTCCTCCTTATTTGTTTCCCCTTCGCTCCCTCCCTGCCTGTGCTCTAGCCCTCCCAGTGGCCCCCGTGGGAATTACCTTCCCAGTGGCTGTCCTGGAGGCCGGAGGCCCTCGCGCACCTCTTAGGCTGGCAGCTGCAGCAGCTCCTGTCCCCCGCTTTGTTCCTGCTCCCCCCAGCTCCGGGAAGGCTGCTAGCTGTGTCCTGGACGAGCCATCCGCCCCATTCATCTGACACTTGGGATGGTTCCCACAATGGAGCTATTCTCTGTCGACACTGCCAGGCACGCCGGGCCCGGTGTCCGCCTCTCCCCGATCCCTCGATGCTGGCTCCCTGTGCCCCACCAGCCCCTGGAGAAGACACCGCCTTGGGCTCTGCTGGCGCTGGCTGGGGAAAAGACAGAGAGTTTGAGGCCTGACCATCTGCCTGGTCCTGTTCTCCAGGGAGGACAGGCACGATGACCGACCCCCCGTTCCTGGAGCTGTGGCAGTCCAAGGCGGTGTCCGTCCGGGATCGACTGGGCATTGGGGGCCAACGCAATGACTCCTACTGCTACAACTCAGCCAAAAACAGCACCGTGCTCCAGGGGGTCACCTTCGGTGGCATCCCCACCGTCCTGCTCATAGATGTCAGCTGCTTCCTGGTAAGACCCCTCGTGAATCACGTCCTTCCCTTCACCCCCCAGTTACTCCTCCACCCAGGACCTCTGGGAAACTCAGGCAAGGAGCCAAGACATACCTGGGCGTATATCCCAATTCTGCCAGTTACCAGCTCTGTGACCTCGGGTGTGTTACATAGCTCGTCTGGGCCTCAGGTGTCTGCTCTGTAACGTGGAGATAGTGGTTCTTACCTCAGAGAGTCGTGGAGGAGATTAAATAAGGCGAGATACGAGGAAGACGCCCACCGCTGTTCCTTCGATTATTACCGGCATCGCCGGGTTATCAGCCTGGCACGTCTTTCGGGCCCTTGGGAAGGGACAATCCACAGAAAGAAGACATGCGAATGGAGAGTGTGGATCAGAAGGAGAGCAGTTGCAAGTCCCGGTTTATAAATGTCGCCTCCTGTTCCCCGCTAGGGTCTTTGGGCCCTTTCGAGGGTCAGACGTGGAGAGAAGAACTCTGGGAGAAGGCACGCCTTATCAGAGGGCCCCTCGCAGGTGGCCTTCCTTTAATGTAGATGCTCCCAATTTGAAATATACCATTTTTCTTTTCCCTACTGACTCAGCATTGGCTAGGTGGACTTTATGGTGGGAGGGGACACCTTCTTTTCACAAGTGCCCACGAGACGGTCAGTCCCTCTTGCTGCCCCCTCCTGACACGTAGCGGAGGCCATCTGAGTAAATAGGGTGAGATGGGGGTGGAGGGATGGTTTTGGGTCAGAGGCTACGCTAGGGTGGGGGTCTTGGGGAGGCGGAGTTAGGGTAGTATGAGGGCCTCAGGCCCTAAAGGAAAGAGGCAGATATCAAATAAATTTTCTGGCACGAAAAATGTCCGTAGGATGGGGCAAGGGGTTCTCCACCCTTCTCTTTCCAGCTGGAGCCCTAAGATTAAGGTCGCATTAAAATTTTGCTCCATTATTGGTCTTTTATGCAGTGACGTGGGAACCTGCAGGCTACTCATATTGCTTTTGTGGACAAGGGCTCTTTAAGTGCCAAATCGCCCCCCATCTCGGAGCTCAGGCCCATTAGTGGGTGGAGACACCATCACATAGACCCGCCCGGGTTGAGAGGAAGGCGTGAGCGTGGTGATGGATTTGAGGGTGGTGGGGTTTATGGACGAGGGCGGCCATGGAGCTATAATCCAGCATCTTTGGGGAGGGGAGCGTTTGGGCCAAGGTGAGAAGTCTGGGGAGGGACAATGGGCAGGGACCCAAGAGGGCTGCGGGTGGGGGTCCGTCTGAAACGGGGTTGGTTGAGAAGAGAGAGTCGCTGTCCAGGGCAGTGTGCTGGTGGCGGGGGTTTCTCATTGCAGGAAGTTAGGGGGGGCGTGTCTCAGAAGAGCTGTGGGGGCGGAGCTAGGAATCCTGGACACGGGGTGTGGGAAGTGTCCACGCCATATAATGTGGCCAAGGAAGCAGCTGCAGAGCAGAGAGGGCAGGACCTTGCTGAGCGGTCTTCGTTGTACCCTATAACCTGACTTCCCTGCCTTAGAAAACATGTCACCAACTTCTGGCTCAGCCTGGGGTGCTCTGCTACCTTGGCTCAGTAATTAAAAAGGAAATTCTACGGAAAGTGAAGGAAGGAGCTGCTCGCCGGGGCTGCTCCGAGGCCAGGCTTTGCCCTCCTGCCCAGGGACCGCTGAGGACAGATCAGGACCGAGGAAGGTTGTGACCGTTGATGCTGCTTTGAGAGCAAAGACAGGGCTGATGTGCTTGACTGGGAGGGAGCTGGGGCAAGCTCGGCTTCCGCGTTGACAGGCTTCATGGTTTGGGAAAAGATGACAAGAGCTGGGGAAGAGGGCTGAGCAAAGCGACAGGCCTTTGAGCTGTGTGGCTTTGGGCAGCTCAGCACACTCTCTGGGCTTGGATGACCTCTAAGGCCCTTCGAGCTGTGCTGAGTCTAGGCTGGTGGGCTTTGCCCCTAAGGCAGCTGCCTCTTCATTAGAAGTCAGCTAATATCCTTTCATTTGGTTTCTTGTCTACTTTTAGTTTTTAATATTGGGGTTTTCCATCATAAGAAGAAGATTCTGGGATTATGGCCGCATTGCCCTGGTGTCGGAAGCAGACAGGTAAGAAAGAATATCACCTTGAATGTGAATGAGCGTGTGTGTGTGTGAGAGAGAGAGACAGAGAGAGACAGAGAGAGGCAGAGGCAGAGACAGAGATGGAGAGACAGAAATGGAGAGACAGACAGAGACAGACAGACTGGGATGGGTTGGGGGCTTGTGAAGCCCACCAGGCAGGACCCACACACGAGGCTGATGTTTTATTCTGGTCTTCGAGTGCATCTGCCAGGCCTGTACCAGACCCCGTGTCCTCTCTGCTCTGTACCACAAACCCATGAGGTCAGCCACATACCTTCGTTGTGCCACTGAGAAAACCAAGGCCCACGCGCCCAGCTCTCTCTTGGGGTTTTGGCCTGGCCGTGGCCATGAACCTTGCAGGCTTCAGACTGCAGAGGAAATCAAGTTCCTTTAGATACTTAGGGCTTTTATCATCTGAGGAGAAGGATGCCAGTTTTCTTTCTCACCTTAACTATTTCCAAGTACATCTTCTTTGAAATTCCTTAGTTTGGGGCTGGGGGTGAGGCGGGGCAGCTGAAGCAGGGCCGCGTGGGCTGCGGATGTGCTGCTCCTGACCCTTGGGGCCAGTGCGGCCGATGGCCTGAACTCAGCTGGCCCCTGCAAGGCTGTTACAAGTCACAGACCTCAGATGTGGCACGTCCGCCCTGGACCCTGAGGGCTCTCTGCTCATGGCACCCGAGGCGGGGAAATGCTTTCCGATCTGCGCACCTGGACTTCCCAGCTCCAGCTGGCTGTCGCACACCCTAGGATCTTGTGTCAGAGGCAGCAATAGGAAGCCAATGGGAAAACACATGCCTGGCAGGCTGCCTGCCCGCCCAGCGCCTTCACGGCCTGTCACCAAGTGCCCCCGACTCTTGCTGCACCAGAGGCTTCTATGTTGAAATGCAGTCTGTGCCGGAAGAGGTGGGGAGGGGGGCATCTGTCAATGCACCTTCTTCCCCACACAGCCTGGCTCTGGCCTTTGCAAAAGCCTGAGGTGTTGGCATTGGGGTGGGGTGGGGTGGCGCGGCCTCTTGCTTCAGCTGTGTCGGAGCCTCAGACTGTTGGGGGAACCTTTGGGACAGCTGATGTATTTTTGACACATCCACCCCGAGGAGCGTGTGATCTTGGCTAAGTCCTCAAACTGTTGGGGGTTTGTTTCCTCCTATCCTTCCTTCCCCATAGGCTCCCTGGGAAGGTCAAATGAGACAGTTCTCTAGAAGGGCTTTGAAATTTTCACCGCGTCTTATGCCATTAGAAGCGGGATGGCGGAGCCAGGAGTTAAGAAAATAGAAGCAAAAATTAACATCACAGACGCCTCAGATTCACAGCCGACGGGATGTTTTTATGGGTTACTCAGAAGAAAAGAACTGATTAAATGCCACAGTGTAAAATGTCAGAGTTCATCAACTCTAAAATGCACATTTTGACATTTTCTCATCTCTGAAATTGGGATGCGACCTATTATCGGTGATAGTCAGTTTAATGGGTAGCGTTTTTCTTTCTTTATGGTTCATAAAGTAATTACGCCCTTTACAACCAGTGGTATCTAAGATTTGATAAAATACAGTATTCTAAGTTTTGTCTACATTATATTGGGGACTACCTTGTAAACGGACAACCCTTCGAAGTCACTTTAGGTAGACCAGTCACAGTGCTAAAGGTCAAGGGCGTGGGGCACGGGGATGGTCTATTATTGCCCTGACCCCATGTTATAATCACACATAACAGTTTTATGTCTTACACACCTAGGAATGGCCATTGTCCTTTATAACAGGGCGAATTATATTTTGTCCCAGCCACTGAGGGTTCATAGCTTTGGTCCTGAGCTCTAAGAGGCAGCAAGAGAACTGGATACACGTTTTTAGACTTTTTAAAAGAATTCTCTGACTTTTTTTTTCTTGTTGTATTTCTAGCGAGTCGAGATTCCAAAGGCTGTCATCCTCTTCCTCCCTAGGACAGCAAGACTTTGAAAGCGAGCTGGTTGGTATCTGGGGGCCAGCTGTGGTGGTGGCCGGGGTGGCGGGGACCAGCAGTAAGGAGTCAGTGGGGAGAGGGGACAGTGCAGCTCCTGCTGGGCTGCTGACAGTACCTGGACCTTGAGTGGCTAGTGCTAGTGAGAACTCTTCTCGGCATGGACAGAGTGACTTGGACTTGGTAGATAACAGAGGCAAGATGGCAGCTGGATGACCCAGGACTGGGCTTCACTGTCAGGCAGAGGGCTGTGCAATCCCCTGTGGTCCCAGCACTTGTTACTATACTTACAGTTTGGTGTGACAGTTAATTATTGACTTGCCTGCTTGTGAGCCAAATGTAGGCAGGTCCGTGTTATTCAGCGCTGTTCCCGTCACCTGATACCTGGTAGGCGCTTTGTAATTGTCAACTGAATGATGAACAAATATTTGTCTTCCCCAGCTAGGAAACAGTCCAGCTTTAGGGAGTATTACATTTCAGAGATGCAATGGATAATAAAACCCACAGATACCCACTTCCCTCCCTAAATCCCACCCCAGGGCTCTTTTCCCCCACATCTCATTCAATTGTTTTAAAACAATCAAACAGAAATCCACATCCGTTTCTCCAAAGCTGCCCTGAGTTTCCATTAGCCGTTGATTCAAGTTTCATGATTTGACCTTGGAGCCTGTATAATTCCACAAATTGTCAAATTTGAGAGGTTCTTGCAAGAATTCCAGGCATGGAGTGCATATTGCGAAGGACTGGGAGCCTGCAGACTTTGTCATGTTTGGGACAAGGGGTAACTTGCTGAATTTGGGGACAGAAGTGCTGTTTTATACAGGAAGAGGTTAGATGATTATTTAATGTCAAAGAAGGTGAATACATCTGCTCCCAAAGACAGAGATGCTGGAGGCTAATCCCTGATCTTTCCTCCAGGGATGCTGCCCCTGGCTGACCGCAATCTTCCGTCTGCAGTGAGTACAGCACGTGTAGCCGTGTCTGCGCATGCGTGCCTGCCTGTGTGCGTGTCTTTGTTTGTGTGGGTTTGTTTGGGTGTTTGACCAATGGGGAGGAAAGAGCCAAGAGGCCAGATCTTGAGATGGTGGGGTCTCTTAGGTACTTTACAGTTTTGGTCTAAAGCAGTGTGTGGGGGCCGAGAACAGAGACAGCCCATGCAGGCCCTGCATAAGCTAATCAAAGCTCTTTTTTTTTGCTTTAGGCAGTAATGATATCTACTTAATATTTAACGTGGATGTATTTACATGGAAGCTCTTCTAGGCAGTTTTGCATGTCTTTCAATTAGTGAAAAATGGAGAACTAATGATTGCTTGATACATTCTGCTCATTTGGTTAAAGTTTTTTTTTGGTAAAAAAACATGGGGCCTGTGAAGAGAAATCCTAAAAGAGGTGCTTGGTGATTATGAGCCAGTTCGTCACCTCACACGTGCTCGAAGGAGCCAAGATGTGAGTCTTGACTCTGCCACCTGCTGCCATATTCCATCAAATCCAAGAGGTCATTGTTGTAAGATGCACATTATTTGACTTGGCACTAAGAATGAGAGAAGGCTACCGATAAAGCTGTGATCGGCTGTGATTGTAGGGTGTACCGCACTTCAGAGGTATTGAAATAGGAAAGGACACCTTAGAATTGATGAACTTTGGTAGTTATAGGACTGGGTAAGTCCCTGTCTCTGGGCCTCAGTTTCTCCAACTATAAATAATTCCAATAAATGAATAGGTGAGAATGTGTTGTAAACAGTAGAGTTTGGGGGGTGTTGTTCCCAAGGGAACTGGCAGGAAGCAGAGTTTCTTCAGAAGAAGCTCGTGCTCTCTGGTCTGGAGCGGGAGGAAGCAGGAGGAGGGACTTCGGGGAGGGAGGGGACAGAGGTGGGGAAAGCGGATATCCCCACCTCACCCTGCCCACCACAAAATCATGTCACTAGACACATTTCCTTCTGCTGTTGGAATAAATGCATTGTGCAAACAAAAAGTCTAGCATATACAGAAAAGAATCAAAAAGAAGAAGTTTTAAGTCACCCATAACCCTGCCTCTGAAAGATGCCCATGGATGTTTCCCCTTGGTCACCACTCTGCATGGACACTGCTGGTTGGAGCTCAGGCCACTGCCCCCGCCTCCCCTGCCCTCCCTGGGCTGTGGACCCCACCTCGGCCAGGACCTAGTGGGGCCAAACCAGAAATTCTGACTCATCTTTTTCATGGTAACCAGCAAAGGCTCGAGGTATTTGCACTGCTGTTGCTCCGTGCTTCATGCGTGCTGCTTTCATGGCTCTGTGTCCCCAGCACAGAGCGATGGGGACACTCATCTCTCATTGAGCGGGGCAGCCGTCATGTGGGCGCAGCTGTGTATTCTGCTTTGTCATTCTAAAGCTATGTCAAACATGTTTTTGCATTTCAATTCTCAGTGTTTTTTTTTCTTCTAGCCACAGAAAGGACTATGCTTTGACTTTTTTAAAGTTACCATTAAATTTTAACAGCTGCTCACAGCCAACGTGACAACTGACATTTAAAGAGGCCTCTCAGTTTCCTTCCAAACTGCCTTTCCCCAGCAAGATGGGAAAGTCAGAAGAGGGTCTCAAGAAAAACTACTGAAAAGTGCTCATTGTTTTAATCTTCATCAGTATTTGTTTAGTAAGCACTATCGTGGCAAAGTATTTGCATTTTGGTAGCTTATTTCTAAGCGAAAGCAGTGTAGTTAATTGCAAAGCTTCGTCCTCCAGGTAAATAGTAAGGCGTAGCATTAGCCAGCTTCCGAGCACCTGCCAGGTGCCAGGCACAGCGGGGTGCCTGATCCTCACAGCTTGTGTCCCTGCTAAGTCACCAGGTAGCTAGCAGAAGGGTGCCTGATCCTCACAGCTTCTTGTGTCCCTGCTAAGTCACCAGGTAGCTAGCAGGTAGTACCTTCCCTGCTTTAGTGAGTCACAGCCTCAGGTGAGTCAGGTGACCCACTCCTGGAGGTGGCGGAGCTGGCTTCCGCCACGTTCGTCTGCCTGACTCACGCCCCGGGCTCCAAACCTTTCGGATCTGCCTTTTCAAGCTGAGCACTCCCTCCCTGAGCTATTCCCAGCTTCTGGAAACAGGACGCTCAGGGTACCTACCGCCCTGTCAGCAGAGCGGGGAAAGAAGGGAGACCCCCCCCTCCCTCTAGCGTGGAAGTCTGGCTGTCAGAACCGGAATTTCCTGGGTCCCTAAATGACCTGGAGCACTTAGGGTGGGAAAGGGGGGAGCAGGCCACCTCCTGGCTTTGGGACACAGGGAGGAGCCAGGGGCGGGAGGATGCACTGAGCCTCGGCATGTCGAAGCAGTGGCTTCACCGCTCTCTCCCAGCTTGACTAAGGGGGCGCCAGGGGACGGGATGGGGGCCGCGAGCCCGGATCCACTCCTAGCTTCGCTCAGAGAAGGTTGCAGCGGCCTCCTGTCCGTGGCCTTATTCACAGAAGCAGGAAAAGGCAGCGTGATCACTCACCGCATTCACCCCTCTCACCCCGACACAGTCGCGGGCTGCGGGTTTTCAGACACGCAGTGTTTTCCTGGCCGGGTGTCAGGGGCGGGGCTGGGAGGACAGATCCAAAGCTCTGCATCTTTTCTGGGCCTCCGTTTAATCATATGTGAAAAATGGAGATAAAATTAGAACTTACCTCACGGGGTTAAAGGAAATAATCTATGCAGGGCCCTAAGGGCCTGGCCTGTGACTGCTACTCATTAAGGCCCCATGTGTGTGTGTGTCTTGGCCAGCGATGACCAGATCCTGGAGTGGTGTGGGGAGGACGCCATCCACTACCTGTCCTTCCAGAGACACATCATCTTCCTGCTGGTGGCGGTCAGCTGCTTGTCCCTGTGCGTCATCCTGCCCGTCAACCTCTCGGGCAACTTGCTGGGTAAATATTCGTGTTGTCCTCGTCTGCGCTGGGCCCAGGCCTAGGGGAAGGGGCTCATTGGGGTGGACCAGAGCCCTGGATTCATGCTCACACTCAGATGTGAGACGGTCTCAGGGTGACTTTCCGGATTTTTCTATCTTAAGTAGGAGGAAAACACCCAGATTTATAGACTCAGCGGCTTCCGGGAGTGTTTTATACTTTCCTGCCCCCACCCGAATCCAGAGGCCACAATTGGCGGATCTAGAAAACGTTCGTAATGTTCAAAGTCAAAACCAAAGTGAGGAATTATATTTCCAAGCAACTATAGGAGTCCAGCTTCCAAAATGTCAGCACGAGTCCACTCTGAAGCTCAGCGATTCCCAGCCTTGGTTCTGGGAACGGCTTCGGATCTTTCTAGATTTCTCAAGGCGTGCCACAAAAATCTCAGGCAGATGAATTCAGATTTGACTTGAACCACGTGGTGGGTTGAGGAGAAGTTGTCGGGGAGTGTCTTGGAATAGAACAGAGGCCTTGGTCGGGGTCGGTAGCTCTGAAAAAACCGGACGGACGTCATTGTCCTCTGATAAGTCTGGCCATCTGTGCTCCTCCTCAGAGCGCCACAAACCGAGGGGGGTTATGCCCCGCCCCGCTCCCTAGTGTGATCCCCGAGACTAAGTCTCTGTGCTTCTCTGCAGGCAAAGACCCTTACAGTTTTGGGAGGACGACGATAGCAAACCTACAGACGGAGTGAGTATGGGGTGGGAGGGTGTGAGGGTGCTGATGGGTGAGGCCAAGCAGAAGGCGGGTTCCAGAAGGCAGGGTAGGCCAGACGTAGTCCCAAGTGGGCAGGCGAATGTCTGAAAGTCCCTTTGCAGTGAGTGTGGCGGGGCCCTGGGCACAGACACATCCCAGGCGGCCGCTGTTTTAAGGGAATTTTAGGAAATCTGGAGGTCCCTCGAGTCTGGGGTTCATCTGTCAGAACAGCCTCTCTCAGGGAGCGCTGTTGTGATGAAGCCACTGGCCTTCAGCTCGGTGCCGTGAGGGTAGCCAAGGCCCCAGCTGGTTGGTACCCCCGCCGCCTGCCGGGAGCCCAGCCCTGATGGCAGGTGGTGTCCCCACAGCAACGACCTCCTGTGGCTGCACACCATCTTCGCTGTCATTTACCTCTTCCTCACCGTGGGCTTCATGCGGCACCACACCCAGTCCATCAAGTACAAGGAGGAGAACCTGGTGAGTGAGGCTGGGGGTGGGGCATGTGCCGGGGAGGGGGGGTGGTCCCGAGTCTGGGCAGACGGGGCTGGCACCCCCGTCTTAGTCCCCAGGAGCAGGACAGCAGTGAGCCCCGCAGGGGACTGCCGTGGAGCCGGCCTTGCATATTTGCACTCAAATTTAGCATTTAAAATTTTTTTTCTGATAGATTGTTTTAGGATTTAGACATTTTTTCCCCCCATTCTGCCAACTAGCCCTTAGATTTGTGGGGTTTAGGCTTATCGGTTACTGATTTAAGTAATTTCTAAGATGTTTAGGTTACAAACAGCTCCCTCTCTCTTTGAAACTGCAGCGTGACAGGCAGGGGAGTTTCTGTTACTTGGTTCCAGGCCTGAGGCCTCCTCTGATCTGCTGTGTGACCCTGTCTGAATCACTTCCCCTCTCTGGGTTCTTTCATAGTCTCCTGTCATATGAAGGAGGCTCGTAGACTTGATTTTAAAATCCTGGAAGGAGATGCTATGTAGATAACACACTAGGGTTCTGCCGGGCCACGAAGGAGAGGACCAAGTCGGCTGGGTTCCTGTTGGTCTTTTTGGGGGGCAGGGGCAGGGGGAGCTTGGGACAGGGTGGGAAACCTGGTCCCGCCTGTATGCAGACTGGCTTGTCCTGGTGACTTTTCTCCCTGGTGTCTTTGTCTGGTAGGTGAGGCGGACCCTGTTCATCACAGGACTCCCCAGACATGCCACAAAGGAGACTGTGGAGAGCCACTTCCGGTGAGCAGGGTGGGGGTGGGAAGGGGAGCGAGGCCCTCCAGGTGGGACCACACAGTCCCATGGGGCAGGCGCCTTGGGTGACCACCTTACGTCTTCTACTTGGGCACTTGAGTGAGGTCTGAGAAGGACCTGGCCCTGCCACGCGCGCATCAAATGGCTGCCTTGCACTAGCTCTGCTGGTGCTGCGAAAGGGCCTGGGCTAGTGGCCTGTCCCCTGCAGGCAGCCATGGCTGCCCCGCGTGACCACAGTAGCCAGAGCACAGGCCAGGGTGTTGGTTTAAGCAAACCTGAGGGAAGGAATTGATCCTCCCTGGGCTTCTCGGTGCCGGCTTTGCAGAGTGAGAGGTACACGAGCCAGTCCCAGAAGGGGAGGGACCTGGGTCCTTCTGTGCATTTGTCCATCGTCCACTCAGGCGTCTCCTGAGTGAGCACGCTGTGTCTGGAGCCCTGTCCTCACAGAGCTCACCGTTCAGCAAGTGTAGGTTCTCCTGGCCGGACCCCCTTCCCAGCAGCCCCCACTGAGCACCTGTGCCAAGGATTCCTGCAGACGGGCTACAGGGAGGGCTTTCCTGTGAGAAGGAAGCTGTATGTACAATGCCCGAACACAGGGCCTCGTATGGAGCATCAAGGAAAGAGGTGGGTGGGGGAGAAGCAGGGCAGGAAGGTCCTGGGGCCCCGGGCTGGAGGCCTTGAACCTGGGCTAAAATGCTGAGGTGTTAGTCTGTATTCATTCCTCATCAGTTCAGCAGTCATTAATTTGTAGTATAAACTAGGGCTGGCTACTGTTTATTTACCCTTGCCCTATTTATGAGAACTCTTACTAAGCAAATTATTAGTATAAACAGAATTGTTGAATGAATGTTTGAAATTTATTGACTAACCTCTTCAGAAACTCCAAGTATTTTGGGAATATTCTTTTATATATAAACACCGGATATTGGAACCGTGTGTCCGTTCCTTGAAACAGCTCCCCAGAGCTGCCTGCCAGGCAGCAATGGTTCCACTTCACGTATTAGTATTTTACTAAGATTATTAATGTATGTGTAGACATTTTCTGGGCTGAGGGTGCTTTGCTTTCATTAGACCTAAAAGGTCTGCGATCTTCCAAGGGGTCACAAACTAAACAGGTTTTCAGTGACGGTCCACGGTAGATCTGACCTGGAGCAAACAAGAAATCTATTCCTTTGGGTGGGTAGAGGGGATAACAAGTAGTGTTAATTCTTCCCGGCGAGAAGTGCCAGCTGATTTAAAGCCAAGCGGGTATAAACTTGTCAGTTTCAGGCAGTTGCTTTCATGCTACTAAAAAATGCTTCTTCGTATTACATTTCAAAATTTCCCCTTTTGCTCAAAAAGAAAGAGAAAAGAGGTGTCTGCTGGCACAGGAACGGGCAGCGTGATTGCTCTGCCACCCTTGGAGATGTTGTGAGGGGGCGGGTCTCTCCTGACTGGGGGTGCTCTTTTCCAATGGCGTCTTTTGCCTCTGGCCTGCCCCGGCCACAGGGACGCGTACCCCACGTGTGGGGTAGTGGAGGTCCGGCTGTGCTATGACGTGGCCAAGCTGATCTACCTGTGCAAAGAAAGGTGAGCGTGGGCTGCGGGCGGGCGTGCATGGGGTAAGCTGGGCTGCAGCTTTCTGGCTTTTCCCCTCTGAGACTCCCACCGTTCTTCCCTGATGGCCTCAGGTCCCCCAGCTGTGAAGGGAGGAGCGGGGACTCGCCCCTTTCTTGTTTACAAAGCTGAACTCCCAGTTCTGGTAGTGACTGATGGTAGTGGTGGTAACAGATGGTTGAATGGAGCGTGTGGGGTCCGTACCACAGGACTGTGGTCTGAGGTTCGTCCCCTCCCGCCCCACTCCACCCCCCCAACTGCAGAAAAAAGACTGAGAAGAGCCTGACCTATTACACGAACCTGCAGGTGAAGACAGGTCAGCGGACCCTCATCAACCCCAAGCCCTGTGGCCAGTTCTGCTGCTGCGAGGTGCAGGGCTGTGAGCGGGTGAGTGCCCGCACTCTGGCCGGCACTGTGGGGTTTCTCGGCCGCCTGCACAGGCCACGTCATCACCAGGGCATGTGTCTTCTGGTAGGAGGATGCCATCTCTTACTACACACGCATGAAGGACAAGCTCATGGGGAGGATCACCGAGGAGGAGTGCAGGGTCCAGGACCAGCCCCTGGGGATGGCCTTCGTCACCTTCCAGGAGAAGTCCATGGCCACCTAGTGAGTGTCCCAGGCCCTTCCTTGGCTGACGCTCTTGTCCCTGTCCAGATACCTTGCTGTGCCTTTTGGATGGAGACGATTCTGCTGTGTCAGCACCACTGGGATTTTTTTTTTTTTTTTTTGGTGGCATGTTCACCTACTTCTCCAGGTATGGCTGGGGAGGCAGCCATCACACTCACTCCCTCAGGGAGCCCAGCCCATGTTCGTGTGACAGCTGGGCCCCCCTCGGGCCTCCCACCAGCTGCCCCACGGGGCCCACTGGCTCTATGTCCCAGCATTCTGCCAGGCGGGATGGATGTCGTCCATCCTGCTCTGCAACCACAGATCCTTCTGTGCAAGGGCATCTTCCCACAAATGACAGCTGTGGGGGCAGATCCCTGGGCACTCCAGGGCGCCCCCTGCTGCGGGGACCCTGGTCCTGGAGAGGGGAGACAAAAGGGGGAAAGAGGAGGACCCATGGATATGGCGAGGGTTGAGGTGGGGGTCCTAGGGAGGGAAATCTGGGAGTCAGAATGGGAACGGGCTGCATGTAACGTGGCCTGATGCTGCTGTGGGGCGTGGGCGAGGCCAGCAGGTTGCGGAGGTGGCAGCGCAAACAGCGCAGGAGCTGGAATCAGACAGAGGGGACAGAACCTAACTCAGAGAGCCTCAGTTTCCTTATCTGCAAAATGGGAATAGTCCTTGGCTTGCAGGGTTGTTCTGAGGATTAAACAAAGTCCCCCACATAGTGCTCCAAGCGTGGCGTCTCTTTCATAGCATTAATTATAATAAATTAATAATAATAAAGCAAAGGTCCTGTACCACGAGGCTCCCAATCCCGCTTGGGAGATCACTTGGTGGTTCCAGTGTGTGCTGTGGATGCACCTGGCACCCTGTGTCTGGGCCCTGGCCATTTCTGCATTTCCTGGCAGCATCCTGAAAGACTTCAACGCCTGCAAGTGTCAGGGCCTTCGGTGCAAAGGTGAGCCCCAGCCATCCCCCCACAGCAGAGAGCTCTGCATCTCCAAGTGGACCGTCGCCTTCGCCACTTACCCGGAGGACATCTGCTGGTGAGCCCCCAGGCCGGGAAGGGCCACATTTCAATGCTCAGTAGCTACATGCGTCTCTTGGCTACTGTAGCAGACAGTGCGGTCTTAGGCCAAGTGGCACCTGCCTCTTTAGCCTGGGGGACACATGAAAAGAATAAAAAACTGTTGAAATGAATTTTATATTATCTAAATATATACCTATATATCTAAAATATTATCAGTTCAATACATAACCATTTTTTAAAATGGAGATGTTTTACGTTCTCCTTTTCATACTTAGTGGTATTTGAAATCAAGTGCGTGGATTTCTAGAAACTTCTAGCACGTCTCAATTTAGCCACGTTTCGATCCTCGGTAGCCACACATAGCTAGCTCATGGCTGCTATATCTGACAGTGCAGCCTTAGGTCAGGTGTCAGCTGTCTGTCCTGCCTGGGAGACACGCTGGTGCGCTAAGCCGTGTCCGTGGGGTGCATGGGCGAGCCTCGAGCGTGATGTTTAGAGTGAGCGCAGTCCCCACGGGGGCCCCAGCAGGGCCGGCCATCCAGTCTGGCCTCTGTTCCTCGTCCAGAGCGGGTTTTGGGCAGAACACTAGTTCTGCCTCTGACGGTTCTGCTCTTTGGTTCATATTTCTAAACTTAAGATTGGTTTGTTGTCCTGTTCTTGATGGGGATGAAAGGCCAGGGCAGGTTCCAGCTGGACTTTGTGCCTTTGTCCTCTACCTCCTTCCTCCTTGGACCCCAGCCCCTTGGGAACGTTGGGCAGAATGTGTCATTAGTCACAGAGCATCGCAGACGTGTCTAAGAAATGCCATGTTGGAGCCTTGTGGGGTCTGCTTGGGTGCTCATGGCATCTCTGTGGGTAGATTCTGGCCCCCGGACTTGGGGAGTCTTGTTAGCAGTGAATAACTTGTTTTAGCTCTGAGCTCACAGGGACTCAAAATATGACCTTCCTGTAGATGAAGGTCAGTGCAGAGAACATGCCTGTACTCTCTTGAGATTGAAATGAACCCTCAGCCAGAGCCATCAGACTTGTCTCTTGGCTTGCCTCCACTGGACCTTCTGACCGACTTAAGTCGTGGGCACTGTCGATGTGGCCGGTGGCCGGATCCTGGGAGGTAAGCCTCCTCCTGGGCCTGTGTCCTCTCTTCTGCAGGAAGAACCTGTCTGTCCAGGGCCTCCGCTGGTGGCTCCAGTGGCTGGGCATCAACTTCACGCTCTTCGTGGTGCTGTTCTTTCTGACCACACCGTCCATCATCCTCTCCACCATGGACAAGTTCAATGTCACCAAACCCATCCACGCGCTGAATGTGAGTGACCGCTCTTGTAAGACCCATCCCAGGAGGACTGGTGATAAGACAGCATGGTTGGTGGGGGAGGATTGGGGGTCGAGGGATGTGGGGGGCACTGAACCAGGAGGCCTTGTCACTCAGCTCATGTCTACATTAAAAAAATAATAGTTGATTAAATCAAAAAATTTATATTGGTGCAATGGACATATAATATCTGTGCTTTTAAGCCCTGAGCAGGCATGGCCACATTGATTACAATGTCTTTTAGTAATTTAGATATTCTACAAATATATATTCATTCCATATACGTACATGTGGAATCAATCTAAATATTCAGTAGTAGGTATCCTGTGAGTTGAATGAAGTATATTCGGTCTGATAGCACGTTAAGCATTCATTAAAAAATTGTATAGACTTTGGGGTGGACCTTGGGGGTTTATGATAAAAGCGGAATGTAAAATTATCTCTTAGCGATGGTCATAGCAGTGTGCCAGCGACGCGGGTGTACGAGGGGAGCGGGGAGGGAAGCGTGGAAGGAGCTTCGCAGACTGGGGTGGTGGAACCATGAATTGTTTCTTTTACATTTCAGTTTCCGGTAATCTTGTTATAAAGTCACTGATTCTAGATAGGATGATTTTTTTTTAAAAAAAAATCTTAGATAAATCGATCACAGCGAAACATTCCCTAAATTGGCATCTACTTAGAAAGATATCGGTTTCCCATAGTGAGCTTTGCTGAAATCTCACCCTCAACCTCTCCCTTTTCTCTCATTCCACTCGGCATCCGGGAAAACACTCAGTCGGGCTGGAGGCCTGAGGTCCTGGCCCTCACTCTTCTGCTCTTTAGCCGATGAATTCTGAGCCTTGGTTTTTCATTTAAAAACTGGAGTCGAAACGCCTGCCATATTATACTTATGGGCCTGTTATGCTGGCGGGCGAATGAGCTCATGTGTGGTTGAAGCTCTCTTATTTGACTCAATGTATAATAAAAAATACATAGTGTACATGAAGCAGTTTTGTCGAGATTTAAAGATGAAAACGTTCATTTCTTTGCCAGTCTTTTGATGTACGGTCAAGGCCTCTTCTTTGGAGGGTGGGCCTGCTAATTAGGGTTCCTCTTTGTCTGACACAAACCACACCATTGTTTCCTTATTGGTGATTCCAGTTTTGTTTTTTTACGGGAAAGCAAGACTTTAAAGATACTCGCAAAGCCATTCTAAGTGTAGAACCCTCTAGATCTCATCTCCCTTGGCCCTTTACGGTTTCTTTATTCTCACCTAATTCAACAGCAGTTTTTAGAAATTGGCCTTTATCAAGTCTTTCCGAAGCATCTGACGTAGTTTTCAAAGAATTTTTCTCTTTATTTTTTGCTCATTTGATCAAGAAAAGTAATAAGTTGATCAAATTATGTAATTACAACAACAGGTGCAATGGGCATAGGCAGGATTGGGAATAAATACAGAGCAGTCCTGGGAAGCTCCAGCTGGGCCGCTGGGAGCCAAGTGGGCAAACCAGCGGGGGAGGGGCCCAGACCGGCAGCATCCTGTCTTCCCTTGGCAGTATCATTGGTTTTCTATGGGAAATGGAGGTTCTCTGTCTGGTCAGCAAGACAAGGGAATTCAGTCGTATGTGAAGTTGCTGTCTTTACTTGTAAGAACGACACTGTACTAATGGAAGGAGCTGTTGCTCCTTATGGAATACCTGCCCTGTTGGTAGTGGGAGTCGAGGAGGACCAGAAGCAACCCCAGCAGTTCACAGAGCCACCATGCCAGCAGGGCACGGCCTCCAAGCCTCTAACTCTTTCTGCCGTGGACCTTGTATTGCAGGACCCAGTCATCAGCCAATTCTTCCCGACCCTCCTCCTGTGGTCCTTCTCGGCCCTGCTTCCGTCCATTGTCTACTATTCTACGCTGCTGGAGTCTCACTGGAGCAAGTGAGTACCCAAGAGCTCTGGCTCCCACCCCACGGGGCAGCGGGCACACAGCGAGGGGCTGACTGGGGACACTTGGAACCCTGGGGTCCGTGCGTGCTCACCGCTGACTTCCCGCAGGTCAGGGGAGAACCGGATCATGATGACTAAAGTCTACATATTCTTGATCTTCATGGTGCTGATTCTGCCCTCCCTCGGCCTCACCAGGTACTCACATGTGGCCCCCTCCTGCTCTAAATTCACAGTCAAGGTCACATCTGGAGAGCACTGTCCTGGGGAGAATGGAAGCGGTTTTGGTGTGGCTGCGGATCTCTGACAGCGTTTAAGCCTGTCACACCCACTCGGAGCAAAATTATACTGGCTCATTGATTCTTTTGGAAATAGGATCTTTTTTCCTTAAAAAAAATTTTTTTTTTAAGCTTGAAAATAAAATTTATCACGACCTTCCAGTTAGAGGGAGGATCTAATCCTGGCTTTGTTTATCTCAAGGAAGGAGCTTTCTGTTAAATTAAGCCCTGGTAAGTTACACTGTAGTAAGTGGCATTTTAAAAGTTAAATGTAGATCTTGAGATTTAGCCTGTTTTTAGAGCAGAAAGAAATGAAAACGTGTTGTAATCACATGGAGCGTTGGAAGTAAATTCTCACAGGATTCGTTTGTCTTTCAGTCTGGACTTCTTCTTTCGGTGGCTCTTTGACAAAACGTCCTCTGAAGCCTCTATCAGGTTGGAGTAAGTATCAGCCACGTAGAATTTTGGAGCCACGGTCACGTTAAATGTCCCACGGGGCCTGGGGCATCCCCGCCACCCCTGCCAGGTTCCTGGCTGGGCTGGAGCTGGGAGGAGCCTTCGGCCGCATACCGTGGGAGCTGCCCCACTTTGTGTATGTGAGTGGAAATGTGGTTCATCTTTTAGGCTAAGACTCAATTAGTGGCTGTCTCGTTCATTCCTTGAAACGTACTTACCGAGGACGGTGCCCCTGGGGAGAAGGACCTGCTGGGTCTCAGTGGGGCCAGGGAGCAGGGATGGAGAACAGTAACTGACATTGCAACCGGAATGACTGTCTGGACTGGGTTTTTTTTTTTGTTTTTGTTTTTTTGTTTTTTTGTTTTTTTTACCAGGAGAATGGAGTCTAACTGATCGTTGCTATGTGTGCTTCTTACTATTTTTGCCACACTCACTTAGTGGCGATACTTATTATTTAAGAAGGCGCTACGTGTGCTAAGTGCTTCATTCTTTTTCTCATTTACCTTCGTCACAATTTATGAGGTAGAGAGTATCGTTATCTCCATTTTACAGGTGAGGCAACTGAGGCCCAGAGATGCCGCATGACTTGCCCACGCTGACCCAGCTAGCCGAGAGACAGAGTCCCTGCCGCACTTCACTCTAGGTCCTAGTACAGGCCCTCAGGGTCAGGACGGACTTTTCCGAAGGGATGTTTGTAGGGAAGGCTGGCTGTGCTCGTCTGAGAGGGTGACGTGAATTATTTTACAATGGGTTCTTGCTGGGTAAGCTGGCAGCCACGGGCACACACACCCGGCCAGCTCTTGTCCAGGTTGGCAGTAACTTCCAGACTGACAGATGCCATGGTCAGCTCTCAGTCCTCCTCGAACGTGACGCATCAGCACCATCTGACACATTGTCCCTTCCTCCTTGAAACGCTGTCTACACAGGCTCTGGGCCCCCCTGTTCTGGTTTTCCCGGCCATACTGTCCCCCGGCCTCCTCGATGGGTTCTTCTGTGTCTCCCCAAGCCCCATCGGCTGCCGAGAGCTCAGCCCTCAGTCCTCTGTCCACACTGTCTCTCTAGGTGCCCTCAGCTGGATCCGCTGCTTTAATGTCACCTGACTACTCCTGATCAGAAGGCGTGGATGACATCCACATTTATTTTTAAAACATTTTTTAGTGTTCTTTTAAAAAATTTTATTTATTTAACTTAGTTCCAAGTATACAGTACATTGGTTAGACATCTATATAGTTCATAAAACGATCCCCCCAATTGCTCCCTCCCTCCCCTGGCCCTCGATAACGTCCACATTTATCACCCCGGCCTGCACCCCTGGAGTTCGGATCCCACCGCCCACCGCAGCCCTACCTGGGGTTCTGCTGGGCATCTCAGACCAAACCCCTGACCTCGATCCTCAAATCTGCTGCTCCCACAGTTTTCCCCACCCATGATTCTGCTTTTCTGGTTGCTCTGAAAAAAATATCACAGTGTTCGTGT